GTGTGTGTGTGTGTGTGTGTGTGTGTGTGTGTGTGTGTGAGAGAGAGAGAGAGAGAGAGAGAGAGAGAGAGAGAGAGAGAGAGAGAGATTATACATCTGGGATTCATCCCTGTCTGTCATTTGCGGAGCTTAAGAAGATCCACTCGTACGTCCCATGCAGATGCCGACCACTGATGAGTATCGTTCGAAGACTGCCGGGGATTGACGTATATATCGTTGTATAAAGTTCGCGACGCAAAGTTCGGACACAACAAGTAATGACATTATTTTACGTTTATCGCCATTTCTAATATTTCTGTATCGAGAGATGTATAAATCCACATTCAATACCTTTTTCGGCCTTTTGGCTAAGTAAGATCAAGTGTAGTATCTGTTCTGATCAGTTTAATATCTGATCCGTTGTCCATCGGGCTGCCGAAAAAAAAAAAGAAGAAAAATCACATTCAGTACAGTAGATTAGCTGTATGTACTGTATCGATAGTTTGTGCAACGGTCTTATTTATTTTTACAGCAGGATTAAAAAAAAAAAGAAGACCCCCCAGTGAGGCCTACCACGACTGTGTTATGAGCAATTGCTTTTTCTTTCTTAAACCGCGAGTACATTGCCCAGGCAAACGTCAGATTGAAATCGACCAAGAGCCAGCTCAGTGGGTACACCCGTGAAGTGTGGAAATGCAGACCCAAGTTCGAGACCAGATGGTGGTACAGACGATGGTGCTTGATGAGTAAAACCAAAAATTTCTGAATTGCCTGCGGCCGGTCAGCTCAATGATGATATCTCAAGGCGGTCGCCCATTAAAAAAAAAAGACTTGAAGAAATTGAGCCAACCGGAAAATTTCGGTCGGGGGGGGGGGGGGGGGTCGCGGGTACGCGGCGCTACGGGACCACAAAAGCTGGAGGCGCCAGCCAAAAAAAAACAAAAAAACCTGCTCAGTGCTTGGCGCGCAGTGAGAATCCACCATGGCGAAAAGAGGCTCGAGCTCAGGTCTGTATTTCAACAGTTCATGGAGGCAGCATGGTAAGCCCTTTGGTTAGAGAGTAAGTTCAGCTGTAAGAGATCGAAAAAGCAAGATCGTGTCATGATCAATACTTTATTTATTTATTTATTTTTTTCATACAGTAAGCAGCCCGGTGCTAAGGAGATCACTTTGATTAAGAAATGGGATGAATTTCGAGGGAAAAAAAGAAGTGAATATACTGGTCTGGTGTAAAGGAGATCACAGAAAATATATTATTATACGTTGAAAACGAATAGTCGATAATTATGGAAGGCAGCATCACGATGATTTTTTTTTTTTCCCAATGATGATGATCTAGTTTAGACTCTGTTCGACGGAATATTACAAAAATAAAATACAGTAAAAAAAGCTGCCTTCTCCTCATCGGGGGACAGCCATATAGTTTTCTCTCACCTCACATATTTTTAACTGGCGTTCTGCAAGGCGATAATGCGGCAAAATGAGGAGAAACAAGTAGGAAAAATTGTTGAGTTGCCCCTGCAAGTTGGTTGTTTGTCAGATACCCCTAAAACACAGGGTATGGCTAAATGCCCTCCTTACAGGCGTGAAACTTCGTGAACTACCCCACCCACTGATTGGACCCGGCATGACATCTTTTGCATATGCCCCTACCGAGCCCTGTAAAACTTCTCCATATGCCCCTGTACTTGTGGCTGTTGGACACATGTTGGAAATTTCTAATGGCTAAAGAAGTGTGCATACCCTGAAATCCACGGCCTGAAGTGGCCGGGACAGGGGTTATATGCAGAATTCAGGGTCATTTCGCCATACCCGTGTTTTAGGGGTATGTGACTAAATACCCCAACTTTTAGGGGCATTCAATATTGACTGCAAAAGTGCGGAGATGAAGGTGGAAAGTGGGAGTAGAGGAGGAGGAGGAGGGCAGATGATGGAGGGAAGCCGATGTTTTCAGCCCCCAGCTGTCAGCTGTGGATGGAAACACGTGGCACAGTTTATCCACTGCCTGCCACGTGTTTCCATCCACAGCTGACAGCTGGCGGCAAAAAAAATGAGCGCGAAGGCGCAGCTGATCCCTTTCCCAATCGCCATCCCATGCACAAACGGACATGGAGGAGCATACAAGCAAAGGAAATCCGCGTGCACGCTCCACCGTGTCCGTTGTGGATTGTACCAGGATCGGGAAAGGGATCATCTGCGCAAATTCTCTGCGTGCCACGTGTTTCCATCCACAGCTGATAGCCGCGGGAGAAAAAATGGGTGCAGAGGCGCAGCTGATCCCTTTGGCCCTCTCCCGATCGCCATCCCATCCACAAACGGACATGGAGGAGCATACAAGCAAAGCAAATCCGCTTGTACGCTCCACCGTGTCCATTTGTGGATGTGATCGGGATCGGGAAAGGGATCATCTGCGCGTTTCCGCTCATTGTTTCTGCCGCCAGCTGTCGGCTGTGTACGGGCACACGTGGCATAACTTATTCACTGTCTGTTTTCCATCCGTCGCTGACAGCTGGCATAAGAAAACATCAGCGCCGAGTTGCAGCTCATCCCGTTGCCGATTCTCATGGAGGGCATCGGGATGGTGGAGCGCACAAGCCGAGGAAATCTACTGCGATCAGTCGATTTCTTTCGCTTGTATGCTCCACCATGTCCGTTTGTGGAGGGCGTTGGTTATTGGGAACGGGATCAGCTGCGCCTCGGTGCTGATGTTCTCTGCTGCCAGCTGTGAGCGACGGATGCAAGCACATGGCAGGTACTAAGGTGAGGAGATGGAGGTGAGAAGATGGAGGTGAGAAGTTGGGAGTGGAGGAGGACGACGGAAAATGATGGAGATGGACGTGGGAACGCGGAAGGAGAGGAGGAGGGGGGAAGGTGATGGAGATTAAGAGGGAGGAAGATGAAAGTTGGGAGGGGGAGGAGGTAGAGGAAGATGAGCAAGTGGAGGAGGAAAGGTGTCAGGGGGATGAGGAGGGGGGTGTCTTGCTTGTCAGGATTTTACCTGGGCGGCTATGGAAGCAAGCGAAACAGACCTCGAGAGAAAAGTGGACGCCAACACCCTCGCAGGAAAGAGCACGACACGGGCTATGGCAGCACAGGCAACAAACCCCGAGCGAAACGTGGACGTCAACACCAACACCCTGGCAGGAAAGAGTGATGTCAACACGGCACTGGTTATGGCAGCAAGCGCAACAAACCGCGAGCGAACGTGGACGTCAACACCAACACCAACACCCTGGCAGGAGAGAGCGATGTCAACACGGCACTGGCTATGGCAGCAAGGGCAACAAACCACGAACATGGACGTCAACACCAACACCCTGGCAGGAAAGAGCGATGTCAACACGACACTGGCTATGGCAGCAAGGGCAACAAACCACGAGCGAAACCTGGACGCCAACACCAACACACTGGCAGGAAAGGTAGATGTCAATGCAATCAGCCTTGTCTTCTTGGACACTTCGCATGCATGCCAACAGATGGCGAACACCCTGGCCCCACACAACGCTCAGGGATAACGAGGCCAAGAACACTGTTCAGATTCAAACTTGTATCAATCGGCTATGGCGCCAATGCGCCAGACAAAGATTCACCCCGATCAACTGTATCCCCAGCGACTTGTTCACACACACGCAACTCTGGATCTCCCTGGATGTCCCACACACATACACAACACACTCACACACTAACTTACGGGCAGCTATGGCTGCCATCGTTCACCTCTAACTAACACAAGCGGCTATGGCCACGTCTTCCTCCTCTTAACCCACTTCCTCTTGGGGCACCTGCAGACCTTCCTACACAACCGACAGTGCTTCCACACGGTTCACAGGCAGAATGAATCCATGACTTGATGCTGCCTCTTTATTTATACTTCGGATTCTCAGAGGACCTCGCCGGAGTGAAACGGTTTTCACCTTTACGGTAGCAGATGCAATACCCAGGGCTCGATCCCTAGACCTCGCCCTCACCCATGTACAGTAGTAGTGACCCGTGTGTGCTTGAACCGGCGACCTGTGTCCTGAAAGGTCGTCTGTTTACCTGTTGTAGATAGTGTGGTCATCGGGTCTTGGGCCGTACGTCTGAGTATTAGGAGTCTTAGCAGTAGTGTAGGTCGTAACTGCTACAGTACCGAAGGGGCAGAATGAATCGATGACTTGATGCTGCCTCTTTATTTATACTTCGGATGGTCGTAGGTCTGCCCCTTGACCCTGGGCCCGGAGTTACACAGTCCCACATGGTACTTGCTGACTAGACAAAGTGCAACCGGGACTGGGTACCGCTGACTAGGCTAGGTAGGACTAGGACTGCCCTTTGCTGACTGTGCTAGGACTGCCCTTCGCTGACTCAGACGCGGGCTGACTCCTAGTACTTATGTAAGGCCACTTTCGGATCTTCCGAAAGGTCACAGTCTTGACCCTTCGGTACTGTAGCAGTTACGACCTACACTACTGCTAAGACTCCTAATACTCAGACCTCTTTATTTATACTTCGGATGGTCGTAGGTCTGCCCCTTGACCCTGGGCCCGGAGTTACGCAGTCCTACATGGTACTTGCTGACTAGACGAAGTGCAATCGAGACTGGGTACCACTGACTAGGCTAGGTAGGACTAGGACTGCCCTTTGCTGACTGTGCCAGGACTGCCCTTCGCTGACTCAGACGCGGGCTGACTCCTAGTACTTACGAAAGGCCACTTCCGGATCTTCCGAAAGGTCGCAGTCTTGACCCTTTGGTACTGTAGTAGTTACGACCTACACTACTGCTAAGACCCCTAATACTCAGACGTACGGCTCAAGACCCGATGA